GTTATCTTGGTCATAATCATTCAAATTGGTCCCTTCTTCCATTTCAGGCATATATATAAGAACATTGTATTCCTGGGACGCCTGGGTGGCTCAGTCAGTTAAGCGTCTGCCTTCGGCTCAGGTCATGATCCCAGGGTCCTGGGATCAAGCCCCGCATCGGGCTCCCTGCTCCTTGGGAAGTATGCTTCTCCCTCTGCCTCTGCCTGCCACTCTGCTTGTGCTCTCTGTCTCTCTCTGTCAAATAAATAAAATATTAAAAAAAAAAAAAGAACCTACATTGTTAAACATAAATTAAACTTATGGCCTTGAATCTTTAAAACATAGGTGAGTAGTATATGGAGAGACATAGCGTTAGCCCCGTGTCTTCTGTTTAATGTTTAGACAGTCTTGCCACCTCCCAGAAGGTGGAGCTACAGCGAGAGAGGTGGGAGAGGAACCACTGGCCCAGCAGAGGCCTGTCTCGGCGTTCCATCAGCAAAGAGCGATGGGTGGAGACGCTGGTGGTGGCCGACACGAAGATGATTGAGTATCATGGGAGCGACAGCGTGGAGTCCTATATCCTCACCATCATGAACATGGTAAGTCAGACTGTGGGGTGGGGAGAGGCAGCTGGGGAATAGGCGTCACCCTCCAAAAATAAGAGAGACCTTTTTTGTTCTTTTCACATGTATATATGAATCTATTCCCTGCCTAAATGAGGAAGGATGGAAATTCAGGACCAATTAGTCTGTCTCTTAAAAATGCATATCCTAGGGAAGTTTGGAATTTATCACGTATTTTCTACTAGGTATTTCTCAAGTGACTCAGTCCTTTTAGTATGAGTTTATCTCACCAATTTATATTAGTGCACAGATAAGTAAACTGAGGCAAAGAACTAGAACATGATTTCCTAAAGGTAGTTAGAATTGGAATAAAGTTAATGACCCCTGATTCCAGACTTCCCTTTCTCATTCTTGATGTTTCTGCCTCCCCAGAGAGAGTGTTAGTCCTGTCGAGATGGGGAAAGGTATTTGCCTCCGGAACTGACAATAAAAGAGAGAAAGACCCTGGGTCGGGGAAAGGGTCAAAGAGAAGAAAGGCACCAGTCCCGCAAGCAGACAGCCAGCCAGTCACCTTGGAAAGGTTGCCTTTAGGTATCATAATGTGGATTGGGCCGGGGGCATCTCTCACTCTTCGTTGTACTCTCCCCAGAATTCCTGACCTCTAAGATGACATTTATTTTAAGTGCATCACAATGCTATTTCCCCCCTCCTCTGGCATTTATCTGTTACCTATTCATGTGAGCTAATGGTTTTCCATTTCTGACTCTAGGTCACTGGGTTGTTCCACAACCCAAGCATTGGCAATGCAATTCACATTGTTGTGGTTCGGCTCATTCTACTTGAAGAAGAAGAGGTAAGGGGTAGTTTCTCTCCAGTCTTCTGACCTGTATTCTTACACTCACTACCTCCTTGACAGGACAGCTCTCGATGGACAAGAAAGGGAGCACCAGGAAGGTGTTTAGAAACCTATTGAGAAGGAAAATGATATTTCTGTATTATTTTCTTGGGAATTTTGTGCTGTCAAGTGGGAGATGGAGAACATTTCTGAGATAGACATCATTGGAATCACCTGGCAGTCATTTTGTCTAGTAACACACAAATCAGATTTAGAGCAGTGACTTAGAATGTTCCACAGTGAAAAAGACTAAATCATGAAATGGTTGCGTGGTTTCAGTAAAAGTTAAAAGGGACATGGAAATGTTGAACTCTTTATACTGTTTATTTACCTCTTGCATATTAATACATACCCCTCAACTCTGGGCTGTCTTGTCTCTCTGTACTTTTGCCCTCGGAAATGTCATCTGTTCTCAGAGACTTACATGTCTTCTACATGCTGAGACTCTCAATTTCTTCTTCAAACCCAGACCTCTTCCTTGTGCTCCAGACTCATGCCCTGATGCCTCCTTGCCATTTCACCCTGAATGTGTCAGAGCCCACCCAAACTTGCAAACTCAGTAAGTCCACCGTGGCATTCTTGATTGCTCCCAGCCCGATCATCTCAATTCTGCCTGCGCCCGTGCTCCAGCCCTCTGTGGTACCCATCTCGCTAACCACGCATAAGCCTGGGAGTCATTCTTGAATCCTCCTCTTCTTATCGTCCACATTCAACAGCAAGGCCCACAATGCTACCTTCAAGATCATCTCAAGACCACCTACGGTCCATCATCTCTACAGTCATTACGTTGCTTTAGGCCTTATTGTAATCTTACTGCAGGGAACTCCCAAATGGTCTTCCTGTTTTAAGACTTGCCCTCCATAATCCTTTCTCTATATAGCAGTTAGACTGGTAATCTTTTTTTTTTTTTTTTTGCATTTTAAAAAATTATATTTGACAGAGAGAGACACAGCGTGAGAGGGAACACAAGCAGGGGGAGTGGGAGAGGGAGAAGCAGGCTTCCCGCGGAGCAGGG